AACCGGCGACCCTAGTACTGCCAGGTAGAAGTGCTAACCACTTAGCCACTGTACTGCCCACGCTTCATCATGATTGTTAAAGCCTAAGTTTAGAACAAAAACCACAAGGTACATAAACTTACTGTTAATCCGATGTGTACCCTGTGTTGCTGTCGCCTGTATTCTTTGAAATCATCCTCCTTCGATGCCAACCCTACCCCCCAGCGCTGTAATTTTCTGGTGCAGCAGGGGTTAGGGAGCTAAGACAGGCACTCATCAAGAGGGTCTAACTACAGCCAATCTTTCTGCCCACCTCTACCATTCATAGAAGAAGTTGTACCATAGCTTCTATGAATGAAATGTGATCTATGAATGGAGGCCAGGCAGATAATTGAAAGGTCCATCTTCCCTCCATTCATAGATCATGTTTCATTCATAGAATTGAGGGGGCTTCAAAGGAGGAAGATTTTAAAGAATGCAGGAGCCAGCAGCACAAGTGATCAGATTAATAGTAAGTAATGTCCCTTGTGATGATTTTTTTTAAAACTGAATTTGGGCTTTAAGCTGTTTCCCACAAGTAATCATTTGTAACATTGGAAAATGTTAAAGGGCCCATTCATCCAAACAAATTATTTCAGTTTTAGATAGATGCCAGTATTTGAGTATATACCCCAACTTAATATATATCTTTGTTTTTGACTACCCAGCTCGATCCTCTCACTACTTCATTTGTTATAGGTGTTTCACGAAGGAGATATCAGCATAAAGAAAAGAGATACCTCTTGTGCAACCATTTTCACTTCTGGCATTCAGATCTCATCAGTGAAGTCTAATAAAGTTATTTGAAGCTGAGGGATCCAACCATGACCAAAATATCAGTATTGTTTGCACTGATTCATTTAAAGGATAAATTCACCTTTTAACAAAAAATAATAAATGCACAATGTTTTGCATTTATTATTTTTGTTTGTGGAGCCTCTAAAGCATTGCACCAGTAATCAGCAGATCGCTGTTGCCTTGCAGGTCTCCCCCAAACCTGTCAGTATATCTGCTTGCTTGTACATCCCATATGGGAAAGCAGATACTTACTGACAGGAAGGCGAGCGCCGCAGTAGTAAACTGAAAACTACATGCCCACAGCTGCAAAGGCTGTCAGAACTTGTAGTTTTCTCATTCACAGAATACTGTGAATGAGTGATAGCTAATGGGGAGGAGAAGATCCCCTGCTAGCTGTCACAACGTGGATCAGAGGGGTACGGGGGGTGGTCCGATCGTAACATGTTACATGTTAAACCCTGAATATGGGCGTAACATATAACATGTTATGAAAGGTGAAATTATCCTTTAAGGAATGTTTTGCTTTCATTAATACTATGTAAAAACCCCTTTCAAAAGCACCAATCTCATCAACACATTTCTGAGGAATGGATTGTTTTTTCCAGCCAACCAACAGCTATAAAGTTGGCTAAATAGACCTGTAGTACAATGTGGTGAAATACATTAAACCCACTTTAATGTAGACAGGAATACAAGGAATATATACTGAACTTATAGAATACAGTGCCTTGATAAAGTATTCATACCTCTTGAAATTTTCGATATTTTGTCATGTTACAACCAAAAATGAAAAATGTATTTTATTGGGATTTTATGTGATAGACCAACAAAAAGTAGCATATAACTGTGAAGTGGAAGAAAATGATAAATGGTTTTTAATTTTTTTTACAAATAAACATCTGAAAATTGTGGCGTGCATTTGTATTCAGCCCCTCTGAGTCAATACTTTGTAGAACCACCTGCAATTACAGTTGCAAGTCTTTTTGGGGATGTCTCTATCAGCTTTGCACATCTAGATAGTGACATTTTTGCCAATTATTCTTTGCAAAATAGCTCAAGTTCTATCAAATTGGATGGAGAATGTCTGTGAACAGCAATTTTCAAGTCTTGCCACAGATTCTCAATTGGATTTAAGTCTGGACTTTGACTGGGCCATTCTAACACAGGCATTTGCTTTAATATAAACCATTCCATTGTAGCTCTGGCTGTATGTTTAGGGTCGTTGCCCTGCTGGAAGGTGAACCTCTGCCCCAGTTTCAAGTCTTTTGCAGACTCTAACAGGTTTTTTTCTAAGATTGCCCTGTATTTGGCTCCATCCATCTTCCCATCAACTCTGAACAGCTTCCCTGTCCCTGCTAAAGAAAAGCATCACTACAGCATGATGCTGCCACCATCATGTTTCACGGTGGGAATGGTGTGTTCAGGGTGATATGCAGTGTTAGTTTTCCATCACACATAGCGTTTTGCTTTTAGGCCAAAAAGTAAAAATTTGGTCTCATCTGGCCAGAGCACCTTCTTCCACGTTTGCTGTGTCCCCCACATGGCTTCTTGTAAATTGCAAACGGGACTTCTTATGGCTTTCTTTCAACAATGGCTTTCTTCCTGCCACTCTTCCATAAAGGCCAGATTTGTGGAGTGCATGACTAATAGTTGTCCTGTGGACAGATTCTCCCATCTGAGCCATGGAACTGTGCAGCTCCTCCAGAGTTACCATGGGCCTCTTGGCTGCTTCTCTGATTAATGCTCTTCTTGCCCGGCCTGTCAGTTTAGGTGGACGGCCATGTCTTGGTAGATTTGCAGTTGTGCCATACTCTTTCCATTTTTGGATGATGGATTGAACAGCGCTCCGTGAGATGCTCAAAGCTTAGGATATTTTTTTTATAACCTAACCCTGCTTTAAACTTCTGCACAACTTTATTGCTGACCTGTCTGGTGTGTTCCTTGGCTTTCATGATGCTCTTTGTTCACTAATGTTCTTTAACAAACCTCTGAGGTCTTCACAAAACAGCTGTATTTACACTGAGATAAAATTACACATAGGTGGAGTCTATTTACTAATTAGTTGACTTCTGAAGGCAATTAGTTCCACTAGATTTCAGTTAGGGGTATCAGAGTAAAGGGGGCTGTATACAAATGCATGGCACACTTTTCAGATATTTATTTGTATAAAAATTTGAAAACCACTTATTTTCCTTCCACTTCACAATTATGTGCCACTTTGTGTTGGTCTATCACATAAAATCCCAATAAAATACATTTACATTTTTGGTTGTAATATGATAAAATGCGGACAATTTCAAGGGGTATGAATACTTTTTCAAGGCACTGTACCTTTGATCACACTAGAACTATTAATAGATAGCAGATAGGAATTGGTTATCAGTAAAATATGACTGTTATCAATCTAGCCTAGAAGGTAGGCTCAGTAGGTTAAAGTCCTTACTGATAAATAGAACAAAAATTTGGTTAGGGCCTCTTGAGCACAGCTTTCAAGCTGAATGTATGGGTGCACAGTGGAAAATAAGTTTGTTGTTCTGGTGCCCCAGAGCCACAGCTGCAGCGTGTTTTAGCCCTTAGGACTCAACATTTTCCATTTTAAAAATTGCATCCATAAGTGTGCCCAGCAGTTACACAAGCACAGTGTTTGTTTGTATTTCAATTTCTTTACTGAGTTTTATGGCTTTGGCATTAACCTGTTCATGCTGACAGTACGCAAATATACGGCCTCTCGGCGGATGGCCCGATGCTGAGTGGCCACATATTTGCATACCAAAAGTAAACAAACACGTGCCAAGAGCGTGCGCCCCCTGCGTGCTTCTGACACATTTACCGTCACCTTATAAAAGGTCCTAATGGCAAGTAGTCACTACTTGCAATCAGGACCTTTCCGATCATGTGACTGCTGTGAAAGCCAATCACGGCAGTCACATGACCCTAAACCCCACCCCCTCTCCCAGCATCACAAACCCCTTAAAGAGCAGGGAGGCGCCAATGCCAGGGGGTTAAGGGCAATTTCACACTGGTTCACAACAAAATTGCATGAAAAACATGAAAATGCATGAAAAACGCCTATGTTTTAATGCATTCTTGAAGCATTTGCATTAGGTTTACACCCCCCCCCCCCCCCCTTCACATCACTGCCTCTTGCCACAGGTGCAGTGCGCTTTTGATGTGGTTTTGTAGAGTTTGATGCGGTTCCCATTCATTTCAATAGGGAGGTGCGTTTCTTGGGGCTTTTTTTTTAACTGACCACTTATGCCCTAAAAATGCATAAAACAGGGTTTTTTACATCGGAAGCGCAAAGGACCAGTGTGAAGATGTACACAGACATACATAGGGAAGCATTTTTCTTGCGCTTTTTTCAAACACAAAAGCGCTTCAAAAAACTCCTCAGAGTGCACTAAGTAATATTTTACTGTGTTGCTTAAAATAGGATCTTACTTGTTAGGAAGGCTTGTCCTGTCCATGTATGATTAGCAAAATCCAAAGGAGTAAAAGATCTTCTATGGGATATCTCTGACTGTAATAAAATAAGTGATGTATTAACAATATGTTTAATTGCTGAACTCCAGATATAAAAACACCAATTAATTCAGTTTTATGTGTAACAAATATATTCAATGTAGCTAGTCTAACTGCCTGGTTTTGATTTTGTATCAGACTTTTAATCTCTTTTACAGCACCAGTCAGACTGCAGGAGAGATGGGGAGCACTAGGGCCAATGAGCTCTACTACAGTGCATATACATTTTGACCAGAGGAGGGTACAGAGTGAAGAGAAAGATGACCCATTATTATGCTGCTACTGCTCCTTCACTGTCCAATAACAAGCTAGGGCAAGGAGGCCTAACTATGTTGCTCTACTGCAGTAGTGAAACACTAGTAGCATGGCTGTCTTGTAGAATGTGTATTTTTCAAAAAAGAATAGACAAGACTACAAATTTTTTCACAAGTAAAATAACTCCCATATATGTATTTCTATGCTGTATTTAGCTGTTTGCCTGACGTTCATCTTTAAGCTAACCATGTACAGTAGTAATGTACAAAAGAAACATTATATTTATTTACAACGAATAGAAAGTGTGAGATGCCAAATACGATTTGACTAACCCTGAAGGTATGTGTTGTATTGGGTCTTGAAAATTGTTCCACAATGACAGTTCTCTCCCGTAGGGGATGCCTTCCTGTAGTATTAGGCACAGCACTAGATATCCGGCTATGAGGATGCTTTCCTCTGTTCTGCTGGGTAGAAAAGAGATTGTTAGGAACATAACAAGATTTGATTTTATTAACAAATTACTTTACAAAATTAGGATAAAAATACTGCTTTAATTACTGGCTTCTTCCTATATCTTATCAGTAATAGTTTTGTTTTCTTTACATTAGCTAGTTCTACTTGGCAAATAAACAGATGTGCATGCTATCTTACAGCTGAGTGACGAGATCCGGGTACAGACAAATGTTGCTCCACTGTATCAGAGTTAATTGGCGGTAACTTATTCCTGCTGGTTTGGATAGATGGTGAAGACAGTCTTTCCAGTCCTGTGTATCTGAAATAAATTAATTTAAAAAACAAAAAAAAAAACCAGTGTTAAAAAACAACAGCATCAATATGTGGCACTTGGGTGAGAAAAAACAGAACAGAGCAGAGCAAACACTTACAAAATGTAGTATATTAATGTCAAATTTATTAATAAAAAATATATAAAAAATTTACTCACAAACATATATACCAAAAGGCAGCAAAGTCACATATACTGTGCACTGTTGGGTACTATCTGGCCCCGTTAGAGCCAGATCACCCATAAGATGACCTTGGCAGTTGCCTAGGACCCAATAGGTGTCCATGGGCTGGCACACATAGAAAAGCCAGCTGATATTGTTAGCCAGCCTTTCTATGCTTAGTGGAATCACTTCAAGTGGCCATACAGCAAGCCATTGAGCCCCACTGCTTGCTGGGCTCTTCTTTGTGCCTAGGAGCACTGGTTGCTATTAAAGGACAAATGGCCTGGAAAAGATCAGATAACTCCTATTCCTTCTGTACTGAAATGTATTCTAATTGTACTGTCTCCCTTATATTGTAAAGCGCTGCACAAACTGTTGGTGCTATATAAATCCTGTATAATAATAATAATAATAACTGCAGTTCTCAGATTTTTCTTCTTTACATTGAACTTGGAAGTCTTCATCTCTGATCACTCCAGGGTTCAGAGATGACTGACTCCCTATGCAATGGCAGTGTAACATGCCGATCAGAGATCGGGATCTGCATAGACTACAGACAGAAGAAACGTCAAGAGTTCAACAGGCCACTTATGCCTCCAAATAGACATCAACTTTTATACTATCACATAGCAGGCATGTCAACTACTTTGAAGCGCTTACAGTCAACTAGGATATAAAGGTAAGATTAAAGAAGATGAAGTCCAACTCCAAAAATGTCGGCAACAGGTGAATACAAAAATCTTCTTTATTGCATACAGGAGTAAAAATATTCCATGGCAAATATGAATAAGGTCTGTTTTAGACTGAAACGCGTTAGAGTAAATTTGTCATGGAATATTTTCACTCCTTTATGCAATAACGAAGATTTTTGTATTCAACTGTTGCCAACATTTTTGGAATTGGACTTATAAGCAGATGGAGACTGCTAGTCGGGCTCGGTGAGCTTATATGCTTTAAGCCTAATACATTTGACAAGTAGTAGTAACCCACTTTTGTTTGGATTTGTAAAGAAGATGAAGAGCTAAAAAATCTACTAGGATATAAGGGAGGATATAGATGGTGGAAATTAATTAACACCGCCAGGAGCTAAACTGTGGAAGTGATCTAACACTCCCCAATCGCACTGTGTATAGCTAAAATTAATAAAATCCATTGAATGGAGGATCTTGTGTCCTCTAACGGAAGGAACACACACAACATATTCTGGAGAACAAAGTTCTTCTGGATCAAATTTTAATCCATTTTTGTATATAAGGTTCTCTTGTAAAATTACTCCTCATAACCCTTATAATGCTTCATAACCTGCCTGACTGCTGCATACAAGTGATCATCCTGGGGTGGAAACCCATATTCCCTCTGTTTTTCCACCCCCTAGGTGGCTTTGGGTTTACTGCCCCACATTTATTTGCTTGCCTAGTGCCTTGAGTCTGGTTTTTGGTCTCATAGAAGTTGCATGGAATATTATGGCTACAGCTATGACAGTGCACTTTGATTTTCAGAATGTATAAACCAAGACTGAACAACACGTTTAAAATGGTTCTAAAGACTCAAGGTTTTTTACCTTCATGCATTCCATGCATGAAGGTAAAATACCTTCTGCGTGTAGCATCCCCCCTCCTGCCTCCCTAACACTTACCTGAGCCCCATTCTGATCCAGCGATTTCCATAAGAGCCTTGGTTGGCTGAGGCAGCAGTGGCAGCCATTGGCTTCCACTGCTGTCAATTACAGCCAGTGGGCCAATCAGAAGAGGGGGGCAGCACCAAGCCACGGTTCTGTGTGTGAATGGACAAGCAGAGCTGCCACTCAGGAGGGAGCCTGCTTGAGTGCCCCCTAGCAAGCTGCTTGCTGTGGGGGCACCCAACAGGAGGGAAGGGCCAGCAGCGCCAGCAGGAGACCCGAGAAGAGAGGGATCTGGGCTGCTGTTTGCAAAACCACTGCACAGAGCAGGTAAGTATGACACTTCTGTTATTTAAAAAAAACAAGACTTTAGTATCACTTTAATGTAGTTTCTGTGTGAGGAGCATAGAACTGCAGCCATATGACTGAATAAACCTTTTGTGAATCACCCTTGCATTAATATGCTCCTTTGGCCCTACTTCCCCTATGGGTCACAGGAGTGCACTTTGTTATCAGTCACAGGAGTACTGAGAACTGAGTGATCAGTGGCGTTTGATAGCTCAGATCTCGGTCTTAGAGATGATGGGGGACCAATGCTGCATCCATCTAGGTGAGTATGAGTGTTTTTTTTTTATTTCCAAATTAATCTTTTATTAGCACTATAATTACCATGCAACAGGATACAAACTAATGAAGGACAGAACAACATTGCTGTTGGTTGTTTGCTAAACAGTACTCACAGTTTTGTACCCCTGAGCACTTCATCACTGTAAACATTAGGAGTTTTAGATGGGATGGACTCTAAAGTTAGAGCAGGCAGTCTTCGATGTGTCGGTGTTTTCCTAGAAGGAGTGTGCAGAAGGCGGGAGGACGAGAGAGCATTGCTGTCATTCAACCTTCCTAACCGATTCCGTGCAGAGCTCAGTCCCCTTGGAAAAATGTTTAAAGATTTGTCTTCTTGTTCACTTTGAACAAAATAAAAACACTGAATTAGTATGTGTATGAATAAATATTATATAAATATTATTATTATTATACAGTATTTATATAGCGCCAATAGTTTGCTCAGCGCTGTACATTATAATGGGAGACAGTGCATGAGACAGTACAGTAACAATACGATTCAATACACGAGGGGTTCGAGGGCCCTGCTCCTTAGAGCTTACAATCTAGGAGGGAGGGGATAGTGGTACAGGAGGAAATAGCTGTGGGGGATGGAGTTTTAGGAAGAGTGGAGGATTTTAGTAATCAGCTGAGGGCGAGGTAGGCTTCCCTGAAGAGATAGGTTTTCAGGGTGCGCCTAAAGGTGAGGAGAGTAGGTGATAGTCTGAAGGATTGGGGTAGGGAGTTCCAGATGATGGGGGAAGCCCTGGAGAAGTCCTGGAGACGGGCATGGGAGGAGGAGACCAGGGAACTAGAGAGTAGGAGGTCTTATGAGGAGCGGAGAGTATGTTTTGGGTGGTATTTGGATACCAGATCGGTGAAGTAGTTTGGGCAGTATTATGAACAGCTTTGTACGTCAATGTTAGCATTTTGAATTTTATCTGTTGGGCAATCGGAAGCCAGTGGAGGTATATGCAGATGGGGGTGGCGGATACAGAGCAGTTTGTAAGGTGGATGAGTCTGGCCGCAGCATTCAAGATAGACTGAAGCAGGATAGCCTGAGGTGAGGTAAGCCGATGAGGAGGGAGTTACAGTAGTCAAGGCGTGAAATAATAAGGGAGTGAATAAGTTGCTTAGTGGTTTCCGGAGTTAGGAACGGACGTATTTTAGAGATGTTGCGGAGGTGAAGTCTACATGAGTTTGTCAGCGATTGGATCTGAGGCTGGAAGGACAGATTGGAGTCATGGATTACACCTAGTACTCTGGCTTCAGGGGTGGGACTGATGGTGGTGTTGTTAATATTAATTAAACTATGTAATGCAATTGAAGATACAAATCTAACAATTAAAAATAATCTGTATAAAGTTATAGTACTTACTGTACTGTACTGGGCTGCCCTTTTTAAACAACATGTTTATAGCTTTTCCAAACCAAACAAAAAGCAAAATACTATACTTTAAAATGTATGGAACATCCAACAATCGGCTAAAGTCTCTTCCTATGGTAGATTAATCACAAGCATACAGGGCACTTATACCCCCTTCCTGCCCAGGCCAATTTCCAGCTTTCCAGTGCTGTCACACTTTGAATGACAATTGCGCGGTCATGCAACACTGTACCCATATGAAATTTTTATCATTTTTTTTGTGACAGATAGAGCTTTATTTTGGTGGTATTTAATCAACTCTGGGTTTTTTTTATTTTTTCTTAAACATAAAACCACTGAAAATTTTGAAAAAAAAGTTTTTTCTTAGTTTTTGTTATAAAATGTTGTAAATAAGTGATTTTTCTCCTTCACTGATGTGCGTTAATGAGGCTGCAGTGATGGGCACTGATAGGCTGCACTGATGGACACTGATAGGTGGCACTGATGGGCACTGATGAGGAGGCACTGGTAGGTGGCACTGATGGGCATTGACATGCATCACTGATGGGCACTGAAAGGCAGCACTGATATATGGCACTGATAGGCAGCACTGATTGGCACTGTTAGGTGGCACTGACTGGCACTGGTAGGCGGGACTGATGGGCACTGGTAGGCGGCACTGATTCGCGCTGATAGACGGCACTGACTGGTACTGATAGCCGGCACTGATAGGTGGCACTGATTGGCAGCACTGATAGGCATTGATAGGTGGCACTGACTGGCACTGATGGGTGACACTGAAAGGCAGCTCAGATGGGCACTGATATGTGGCATTGATGTGCACTGGTAGGCACTGATATGTGGCATTGATGTGGCACTGGCACGTGGCATTGATGAGCACTGACACAAGGCACTGATGGACACTGACAGGTGGTACTTCTGGGGCCACACTGATCATCAGTGCGCTGATGATCAGTGTACATGTCCCCTCCGCGGAAAGCCGATTACCAGCTCTCCTCTCCTCTCGAGCTGTCAGCATGACAGATCGAGAGGAGAGAGGAGAGAAATGCCGATAACCGGCATTTTCTTGTTTACATGTGATCAGCTGTGATTGGACACAGCTTATCACATGACTGAGCCGACATCTTCGGCTCTTTCCGTGGATCGGTGATCTGCTGTGTCATTTTACTATATGGCGGGTGGGAGGTGGTTAAATAGATTGGGGACGTCAACGCTGGTCTGAGACTTGTATCCTTATAAACTATTGTAGACCATACATTATCCTACAATACAGAAGTGTCCAATCAAGTGTTAACAGCATAGCACACGTGAAAGGAGAAGTACAGCCAAAGGTTTTTTTGGCTGTACTTCTCCTGTGGATCATCAGAGTGCCGTTCATTCTGTACTCCTGTGACTCGTTTTCAGCTGACAGCGGGCTGAAGTCCGCTGTTGGCTGAAGTCACTCAGTCAGTCCAGGCTGGGGAAAGATCCCAACTTAAAAGTCGAGACCACCCCAGAGTCTGGAGCGGCACTTGGCACAGCCTCTAAATGAAGCGCTGAGAGCCTGAGCCAGCTACTCCCACCCCCTCCACAGCCCAGTGCTCCAGTGAGTGATGAAGGGTCTAAGCAGATAGTGGCGACTGACAGTCCCATCTTCTGCTCAGAGCAGAGAGGAGAACTCAGCGATCAGCGGTCATGTGATTACGGAGTTTTCCCCCCTAGAGCCCACGGGGAACAGATGCAGCATCGGATCGATGCTTCATCCACCTAGGTAAATATAAATAGGGGGAATTACGCTATTTGGGCGGCACCTGTGACACATTTCATTGCTGATGCAGTAGTATTTTAATACATACATAGGCCAGGTTCACAATGCACTTAATACTGTGTTAAGAATTATATTCTTACTGTGTCTTCTCAGAGAGACCAGAATGTCTGTGTTGCAATGGTTTAGCTTGTATTGTCATTACTCCATTCAGGTCACCACTTAAGTTACGACTGGTCTGAAAAAAAAAAAAATAAAAGTGAAAGGTTAAGCCAGGCTGGATGGTAGATCTGTCTTATAGTGTTCTTCTTTCTAATAATTTTATATGTAAATGTTTTAAAATCGAGATCGATCGATTTATATTGCCAAAAGTATTTGTACAACCCTCCAAATCATCAGATTCAAGTGTTCCAATCACCTCCATGGACACAGGTGTATAAAATCAAGCACCTAGGCATGCAGACTGCTCCTACAAACATTTGTGAAAGAATGGGTCGCTCTCAGGAGCTCAGTGAATTCAAGTGTTATAGGTTGCCACCTGTGCAATAAGCCCATCCGTGAAATTTCCTTGCTACTAAATATTCCACGGACAACTGTTAGTGATATTATAACAAAGTGGAAGCAACTGGGAACAACAGCAACTAAGACAGGAAGTGGTAGGCCATGTAAAATGCAAAGCATTGGATGCAGTGGGTTGAGTTCATGTGTAATCTTCAAATGGGTGTCAGAGTTCATGAAAATATTTGATAAGAGCATGACATAGATAGGATCAATGGGCTCATGACCAGGGATGTAACTTGATCACTGGGCCCCATAGCAAAATCTTGATGGGGCCCCCTTTCTGTATAGCATCTACCAGTATCAGTTGTGACAATGCTACCACTGATCTCAAAATAAATTATGTCAGCAAAGAGGGATCTGTGACTAGCAACAATTGTTCCTAAATCACCTGTGCTTTTGACACCCACTTTTCTGGACTGAAATGCCATAGGGAGTATAGGGTCTGCATCAACAACACCCTCTATAGTCCTTAACAATGAGTTCTGTGATCTTCACATGCACATAGATATTCTGTTTAATTTGCCTAAACAGTCTTCTTAAAATGAGAAGTATGGGATTTAAAAAACCAAACTTCTATACTCACCTCCCTGCAGCAGTAATGGTCTGATGCTTCAGTTGTTACCAACTGGCTCTAAACCCAAAAACTGAGTGATCACATGACTGTCAGTAACTGCTCTCCGCTCTACCCCTCCTGCAGCACTCAGTGGAACTCCAGGCTGGGTAGGGGGAGGGAGAGTCTGGCTCAAGCTTTCAGAAGCGTGCTGATAGGCTGAGCCAGCTGCCGGTCAAGCATCTGGGTGGACTCCAACATTATTGTTGGAATCCTTCCAGAGTCTGGACCAGCTCTGCGAAGTCAGCTTACAGTGGTCTTTAGCCCGCTATCGGCTAATTCTGGGTCACAGGAGAGCGTAAGCAAGTGCACTCCTGTGACTCACATGAGAAGTATGACCAAACAGGCTTTAGCCATACTTCTCTTTCAAGGGTCCCCTTGCCACCCCCAGGGCTTGGTAATGGTTATGCCATCATGCTCATAACTCAACTCAGGCATTTGTGCATACCCAACACTGTATGCATTGGAAGAGGGATTTATAAATACCAAGTAAATCTGTACATTTCTGATAAAAATCATTTCAGCTGTCAATACCGAAAGGACAGAGGGACTGTTACAGCTCTTACCTGTGGTGTAAAGACATAAGTGCCAAAGGACATACTCCGTGCATCTGAACCCCGGGATGGGGGAACTCCAGTTGTTGCTGATGTTATCCGTGGAATTGGGAGCTGAAGATACTTATTCGCTGCATTCTGAAAATTTTCTAATTGTTTTAGGTCATCTGCAATGAAAACATGGTTAGCAACTATTAACAGTTGTAGGACATGAGCATCTGTTGGCATGCAGAGATAATTTCAGGGGTTGCTTTACCTCAAGTTAAAAAAAAGAGTTATAAGTCAAAGTTTAAAAAGCTGCTTTAGGCATAAAGTGGCTGCTGATAACATTCACAATAGGGGGTTATTCATTAAAACTGGAGAAACCAAATGAGAAGTAGATTTTGTGTTTAAATTTTCCATAAAATGCAGACAAGATTCCTCCATGCTCAATCTTGTGTATCAGCTTTCCATTAACAAAAAGGTTCAGCTCAATGTAGGGGTTTTTACGTATGCAGGTTCCAAAGGGATGGCACATCTGGACATTACCAGTGCTATTTTATTTTCTTGGAAACATCAGCAGTCAGATTACCCAGAAAAGTGTCTGTGGCTCACCAAACATCATGTCACCTGAACAGATAATGGCCATCCTATGTCTATGGCTGCCATTAGCAGTTAGCCTATAACTGCAGCTGCCTATGTCTCTAAATTTACTGATCAATTTGATGCAAGGCTTTCACTGGCCTCCTCTATTTATGAATTCTCTTCATCATATGTCAGGTTTAAATTGGTTTGCAATATATGTAATTTTATCAAGCAGTCAATAAGCATTTACTGACATATGTCACTGAAATCACAGTGGAGCGATGTAAAGTTCATAGCAGAAGAAAAAAAAGTCATTCTGCTCAGTTTCTTAGCAGCTTTAGGTCACCCTGATCACATTCTCTGTGTTTACAATAGAGATTGGAAGTTTAAAAGGCTGTCAGTCGCTGCTGTAGGAGGGCGCAGGGTGAGCTAAAGCTGCTGGAATTTACTTCAATGCTTTGCTGTGAAGTTTGAGAATGAACTACTAAACAGTGCTAGCAGCTACTGAGGTCAGTGCTGGCTTGTTTTCAACCTCTATTATTGTTATACAGGATTTATATAGTACCAACAGTTTACTCAGTGCTTTACAATATAAAGAGACAGTACTGTTACAATACAATAAGGTTAAGAGGGCCCTGAATGTGAGAGCTTACAATCTAATAGGGAGGGGCAAGTGGTACAAAAAGTAAAAACTGTGTGGGGATGAGTTGCTGAAGAAAGAAAAGTTCAGTTGTTAGGCAGAGACAGGATAGGCTTCCCTGAAGAGATTTTTCAGAGATTGCATAAAAGGTAGACACAATAGAATTCAGCCAGACAAATGGGGTTAGGGAGTTCCAGAGGGTGGGAGAAGCTTTGAAGATATCCTGGATGTAGGCACGGGAGGAAAAAAACAAGGGGGCTAGAGAGTAGGAGGTTTGGGAGGTGCGGACAGGATGGTATGTCTGATATTTTGGGATGACGTTAGTGATGTAGCTCGGTTGATGCAAGTGGCTCTGTATGTTCTTGTTAGTATTTTGTATTTGATCCATTTGAATACTGGAAGCCAGTGGATGACACTGAAGCAACAGTAAGGCAGATAAGTCTGACAGCAGCGTTACTGACATACTTGGGTTGGGGAGTATAGCTTGCGTGAAATAAGCCAATAGGGAGGGATATATAATATCAAGCATTTACTACTTTTACAAAACGAGAATTTACTGCTTGTTAAGAATATATAAATACTTGAATGTTACAGGTTTACTTTAAGGAATACCGTGACCTATATGATTATTTTCATTACCTGTGCCAAATTCCCATGATTTAATAATGAGCTCTTTTAACGATTCCACAACCTTTTTCCAGACATCATCAAAAGCTTCTGCAGCTACACTGTCTTTGATACAATCATTGGGAGAGACAGGAGGAATGCCACGCCTAGACCTCTTCTGGTGCATGTGAGCTTTTTTCTGATCCAGACTCTCATCATCACTAATAATAAAGAAGATTTAATTTTATCACAAAAATCAAAGAAAATAATTACAAACCAGATACATGCTGAAAAAAGAAAGTTCACAACAAATTGAATTTACAATTATTCTATAATGTGTAACTGTGAGTATATTGTAGATTCACACTATGAGCTGAGAAAATGCATACAGTATTGTACATTTTCAACATGTCGTGGCATGCATTTTCATAAGTTTTAGTTTTTTTTTTCTTAGCTTGTCATGTGCACTTTCTGCAAGCATCTTCTATGTTCTTGGCAATGCCATACTGATCTAAAGCCTTCAATAACTTCTGAACCACTGATACAAAATAAGTATGCAGCCGTTAATTTACTGGCTGATTGCTTGCACAAAGTTGGTGGCTCAGAAAATGCTGAAGCCAAAGTAATCAGCATTTTCAGGAGTCTGGTTATGGCAGCCTTTATACCTCAATACATGAGAAAAGGAATTCTTTAAAATGTGTGTTGTTGTACATAACAACCAGTCAGATTTCACATTTTTTAAAATTCCCTGAAAAAATTAAATTAGACTGATTTTTATCATAATAGCTGTAATTGCAGCTAATATAAATATGCATAAAGTTGAACTAATGGCCATCACTATCAGCCTAATTAGTGGAGTAAATTTTTAGTATGCACAGTTTTATTAGATGTTGTAACATTACCTTGAAATTTGTTATAGGACTATCAGATTTTTATTTGCTTACTGTTCTGAATTAGATCATTGTTTTTTTATATACTGAACTGTAAATGGTAGTGATCATCTATATATTAGAGCATATGAATACAACTGAGTGCAGTTTGAACTTTATTTTCCTGTCTTAAAGTGGCGTTCCACCCAAAAGGGGAAGTTCCACTTTAATGCATTGTCCCCTGCTCCCTGTTAAGGATTGGCACCTTTGGGGAGCGGGTACCTGAATTTGACAGGTCACAACAATAAAGCAAAAGCAGGCCAGCAAAAATGACACGAATTACTGATGTCATTAGCATATCTCCGACTCACTTGTATAAGTGTGGATACATAAACCCAAAAAAACAGCATACTAAGCAATATGATAGTGTGACAAGGACACACCTATCTGAAAAAGAAGGTTTCTAAAAGATCCACGCGGAGTAATATGAATTCAAAGGAATTTTAACAATAATATTTAACAATATTATTGTTAAAATTCCTTTGAATTCATATTACTCCGCGTGGATCTTTTAGAAACCTTCTTTTTCAGATAGGTGTGTCCTTGTCACACTATCATATTGCTTAGTAACCTGAATTTGACAGGTACCCGCTCCCACTTCCGCTGCGATCACCTAAGGCGATCAGAAGCGGAAGTTGTCCTCCCCGTAGTCTTCTGGTACATGTGACAGGTCCCAGAAGACTACGCGGCCATTCACAAAGCCAATGCTTCTCGCACATGCACAGTGGGCACCTGGCTGTGAAGCCACAAGCTGTCACAACTGGGTGCCCACAATGAAGATGCCGGTGCCAGGGAGAGAAGATGGCTGGTGAAACCAGCGGTGGTGAGGACACCACTGGACCAAGGGACAGGTTTTGTAGCTGCTGACTTTTATTTTTTTTTAAATCAGCTAGAACTCCGCTTTAATTAATTGAGATTGGGTTTTTACTGCTTAAAGAAACATGTACTGCCATTGCTAACCTGTCATTATAAATATACTAGCTTTCTGGCTGCCATGAGGATCCACTGGCTTGAACAAGCTGAAGTTAGATGCACTGGTTACAATGCACAGCACACCAGATTCTGTGTGTACCAGTTTTAGTAAAGATCCCCCCAAAGTCTGGCTGTTTTCAGTTTTGGTGCCTTATCTAAATAAATGTAACACTTATCTGTTCTGTGCAGTGTTTTTTTTTCTACACAGTAGATCCAATCCTCCTCTTTTAGGGAGGATCCTTGCCCTTCCCTCCTGCTGAGTGCCCCCATAGAAAGCAAGTTGCTTGCTATGGGGGCACCCGAGCAGGCTCGCTTGTGAGCCGCTGCTGTGTGTGTCAATTTACAGGTGCGGCGTGGCCCCGCCCCAGCTCTCTTCTCGTTGGTTTACTGGCTGTGATTGACATTAGCGAGAGCCAATGGCTCCTTCTGCTGTCTCAGCCAATAAGGAAGAAGTTCCTCAGGGAGCCGCTGTTCTCGTGCACATCACTGGATCAAGAGGATGCTCAGGTAAGTATTCGGGGGTTGGGGGGCTGTTGCACACAGAAGGTTTTTTACCTTCTTGCAAAGAAAACATAAAGGTAAAGAACCTTGAGTCCTTAAAACCACTTTAAGGTATCCCTTGTGATCAATTAGTAAAGATATTAGGATTCTCTTTGAAGCTCAGCAACCTTAGAAATATTTAAATGTGGAAAACTCCGTGCTTAGGTGAAAAAAAATCGAGAAAAGCAGCCAGCACAAAGGATATGATACCAACCCCAATCAAATAATATAACTATATGTGCAGCACTAAAGTATCACACAGTAAATAAATTAAGACTGTAGTGAACAGATGCAAATAAATTACATATAAAACATCTAATTAAAAAAATTGTGAATATTGTAGGAATAGTCCCACACTTAGAAATTGTCCATCACAAATGTCCACATTCAGTTTCTTTCCAATCCACCCTCAACACAACAGGGATCCCAGTGGGTTTGCAAAAGATGTGGAGATAGGAGACATCATCTTTGTTCAAGCCGTATCTAGGTTTAGCATCTTCTTCGTTAAGTTAGGTGCTGGATTAGAGAAGTTTGGTTGAAGATCTGACGTGGAGGCTCCTATTTGCCAACTGTGTATTTATTGTTTTTGTCACTTGGACATTGGTGATGAACAATTTTTAAGTATGGTGCTATTCCTATGATATTCACTATTTCTTGAATGAGATGTTTTGTTTAGAATTTATCTGTATCTGTTCAATACAGTCTTTATTTACTGAATGATACTTTTGTGCGGCACATTTAGTTATATTTTAAATATACACTGCCTGTGACCTATAGCAGATATCCTTGGTCAATACTCTATCTTTATTAACAGCAGGGGGTACAACATCCTAGAAAAACAGAATAACTCTTGGAGGTATACCATCAAAGGTAAATACAATGCATTTCTAGTACATTCATATTTAGAGTTAACATTGCAGCATATACTTAAAAGCTATTTTTATGTGACAATCACATTTTTAAACTCATTTTTGTTTGTTAATATATTTAAAGCTGAACTCAAAGCAAACATAAAAGGCACCGCTTATTGCAGCTCTACTTTCAATAGTGGATCATTAAATGTATTTTTAAAATGCAAGCATTAAGTTCCTGAATTTGACCTGGTATTAACCACCTGTAGTCCCTGTACAGCAAGGCTGGAGTGCGAGAAGAAGAAGCAGCACAATGATCCAATCAGTTTATGTGCTGACAAAATATATGATGATAGGAAGAAAAGAGTGACAGAGAACTGAGTTCATCACTGGGCCACTTTTCTCCTTTCACTGTCCAGTAACAGGTTTGGTTCCAGGATGATCTAGGCCAGTGGTCGGCAAGCCGCGGCTCGCGAGCCACATGCGGCTCTTTACCCACTCTAATGCGGCTCTTCTGTGTGCCGGGCGCCTGCTCCCCTCCCTCCTCTCGGTCGGCCGCTCCCCTGCCTCCTCTCGGTTGGCAGCCCCAAAAGTCCGCGCGGACCTTTTAATCCGGCCCGCGGATGTGGCTGTCAGGATGTGTGTAGGCGGGGCAGCGTGCCGAACGTGAGGGGAGGGGAGCTAGGCTCCTCTCACAGTCCGCCCTGAAGACCCGAGGCGCGGGAAGACAGCGAGAGGAACGCAAAAGGTAAGTGAATTGACACGGGGGACTTGGCTTACTAGAAGGGGGGGGGGGGATAGTACTGTGGGGGATGAAATACTATATGAGGGATGAATTACTTTATGAGGGATGAATTACTGTATGGGGGGATGAAATACTATATGAGGGATGAAATACTATATGAGGGATGAATTACTATATGAGGGATGAAATACTATATGGGGGATGAATTACTATATGGGGGGATGAAATACTATATGAGGGATGAATTACTTTATGAGGGATGAATTACTTTATGAGGGATGAATTACTATATGGGGGATGAAATACTATATGGGGGGATGAAAATACTATATGGGGGGAGTGAAATACTATATGAGGGATGAATTACTATATGAGGGATGAATTACTATATGGGGGATGAATTACTATATGGGGGATGAATTACTATATGAGGGATGAATTACTATATGAGGGATGAAATACTATATGAGGATGAATTACTATATGGGGGGATGAAATACTATATGAGGGATGAAATACTATATGAGGGATGAATTACTATATGAGGGATGAAATACTATATGGGGGGATGAAATACTATATGAGGGATGAAATACTATATGAGGGATGAATTACTATATGAGGGATGAAATACTATATGAGGGATGAAATACTATATGAGGGATGAAATACTATATGAGGGAGAATTACTATATGGGGGATGAAATACTATGAGGGATGAAATACTATATGAGGGATGAAATACTATACGGGGGATGAAATACTATACGAGGGATGAAATACTATTTGAATTGCTATGGGGGATGAATTACTATATAGGGGATGAATTACTATGGGGGATGAATTACTATATGGGGGATGAATTACTATGGGGGATGAATTACTATATGGGGGATGAATTACTATATGAGGATGAATTACTATATGGGGGATGAATTACTATGGGGGATGAATTACTATGGGGGGGATGAATTACGATGGGGGATGAATTACTATATGGGGGATGAATTACTATGGGGGATGAATTACACTATGGGGGATGAATTACTATATGGGGGATGAATTACTATGGGGGATGAAAATACTATATGGGAGATGTATTTTCAGTTTTAAAAATGTGGCTCTCAAAATAAATTTCAATCATGGTTTTGGCGAGATTTGGCTCAGTTGAAAAAAAAGGTTGCCCACCACTGATCTAGGCTTAGATGAGGAGGGGTTGGATGATGCTGGTCATACTGAGTATATGTAGTGGTAGAAATAAGGTACTGCAGAGGAAGAAATCTCTAGATTGAAGAAACTTTTGCAGCAAAATCAGATTTTGTTATTTTATCCTTAATGGTCTTTCCATTTTATCTTATTTTTGGCTTGGGTTCTGTTTTAACATACAGATTTGTGGATTAGCCACTAGAGGAAGCTCTGCATTAAACTCATCCTTATTGACCCTTCCTACTTAGCAACTGTTAAAACAGTGGTTGTCAACATACAAGGAGTGGGGGACCTCAACTGTGGCCCCTGACAGCTCCAAAGGGCCGCACATAACATACAGTATCCAAGTGTTGCAGAGACTTCAGACATACTACAGATGATTAGAAATGGCAGACAAGAAACCTGGGTGCTTGGAGAGTGAACAGACACTACAGGAGATTGTCAAAGAGGGAACATGCTACATGAAACTGCTAGAGATCACAGTCATTAAAGCCTCTTTACAAATGATTTCTTCTACTGACTGCTGTGTTTCTGCAGAGGGCCGTACAGCAAGTAATGGGCCACATGTGGCCATTGGGCTGCACATTGGGCACCAGGGTAGATATCAGCCCCACATGAAATTCATAGTTTTCTATGATTTGGCCAACTAATAGAATTAAATTGTGAGCATAATTGTTGAATAGCACTGTAAAGCAGGAAAACAACTTGTATATATGTAATGAGCAGATATGCATGTGCATTTGCTCAATACATATACTCTCTTACTATGCTATTATCTAAATAAGAATGATATTTTTACAATATTTACAGTAATTTCATCTCTTTTGAAGAATATTATTATAGATGGCTATAAACAAAGCTTGCTAGTCATGATTTATGAGTCACAATTACTCGTATATGTAAAGTCAGGTAAACAGCTATACCACAATTTTAATGATTCTATTTGTAAAGCTTACACTACTACTATACAAAGAAATGTTGTATTTACTGTTCTCTGCTGTCATAGGCAAGGTATTCTTCAACAGTGCCATCTGCATCATAGATCTCTTCCTCCAGAAATGAGTACGTTGATGACATAAAGTCCAGAGAACCTGAGCTGGATATGGACTCTTCAGTTCTTTGTAATGGAGACGCAGAAGGGACCAGCCTCGACCCAGACACACACAGTCTAAAGAAAAAAGCAAAAAACAGCAGGTATAAAGGAAATTGTTAGCTAATGTCACATGCTTTCTACAGCACTTTTTACTGGTAGTCAGTGATTGTGCATGCTGCTGGATAAAAGCTGTAGCTCAAACTGCAATGTAATGTGCAGCGAGAGAACCACATTCTCCAGGAGGAACTTTATATGAAACCTGAAAAACTGATATTCCAGCATCGGAAATAAAAGGGTGAGTGTCTAAAAGTGATATTTCTATAACAAGTCAAAGCATAAGTTTAGTAAAATTTAAAAAAGTTATATAATAAAAAATACTACCAGGGACTGTTCAATGAATAAAAAGCGTGCCTTGTGCTGGTGGCTGCCAAGTTCGTTGAAATCTTTATTCTCCCTTTTACAGCAAAAACCCATTGTGCTCCAAAAGTCTATCTTCCATACTTACAGGGCTGGTGCTTCCACTAAGCAAACTAGGCAGCTGCCTAGGGCACACTGCCACCTAGAGGCGCCTGGGCACAGCACAGGCCGGCACTCTCTGTGTGAGATGCTGCCATGTTATGAATGATCCTCCAGCTGAGGGGAAGGACAGCATAGAGGAGGAGAGTACAGAGAAGGACAGAGAAAGATGCCCAGTGTCTGGGGCCAGTGTAGCAGCTGAGCTGCCACTCCTTCCAGTGTTCCTCTCAGACTCAGTCCCTTACTGCAAGCTGGCTGGCAGCTGCTGATCACTGTGGAGTATGAGTGTGACCAGGCTGGCCGGCCGACCATCACATGTGCAATGTGCCAGAGAGTAATGACATCATCACGATCCTAATTCCTGCTCTTCTAGTGCCTGCTGGGCCTGCTCATCTGTGTCAGTATTGTTGGTGGTGTGTTGTGTCGGATCTGTCACTGTGTGGGATCACTCAGTTCAGGTGTTCTCTGTGTGTGGGCTGGACTGCCTGCTGTCACAGCATTTTATCTCCCCCATTGCCTGGGGAATTCCTGTCTGGGATCTGTCAGTGTGGATCCATCAGCCTCCGTTCACTGCAACTGTCACCCTGCCACTGCCAGCCACAGATGCAGTCCATCCATCCATGACATGATTTTGTCTTTAATATTGGTGCTGATGGCATCTCATGGCACTCATATTTGCAAATTAAAAGAAATTTAACAGTTTCATGTTTTGTTGATTTAATATTTTTGACTGTTCTTAACTTTTTTTTTTGGGGGGGGGGGGGGGGTATTTTTTACATAAAAAAATACAAACAATTTTACAATAGGTGGTCACAATATCATCACTCAGGACTTTAAAACAAGATCTGGTACACAGCAATGAAGCGACACCTGCTATACAATTCAGTTGTCAGGCACCAACCAGCACCTGGCATCGAAACAAACATTGAAACCAAACATTTAAAGGGTTACTAAACCCACAACAGGAAAATCAGTCTGTATATGCAGTAAAGCATTTTTATTATATTCAATGTGAAACCTAAGGGGTTAATCCTTTGCACTGTGTAAAAAAGCCATTTGAGCCTGTTTTCTCTGCCCCTCCTCTTGTTCAAATGTCCACGTCTTATCGCCTGATAAGACAGACTGAACCCGTAGCCACATGTACATGCTCAGTTAGTGTGTGTTGCTAGAGAAGTTTTGTTTTGTTTTTTTCCTTGGGAGAGTGCATGTGATCCGCACAGGGTCAATCAGCACTGTCCAGACAGAGGTCAGGGGTTTTGCATCCTCCTAGAGCAGAAAGAAAACTCCTCCTACAAGCTTTAACCAGTGCTCTGCTGAAGTAACAAGACTGCTATATACTGCTGATGAGAAAAGGTATTTAGCAGTTTATATTTACTAAAATAAATGCATTTCCATGTTCTGTGTACTGTGGGAGACCAGATATAGTGAATGCAGTCCTGGGTTTAGTAACACTTTAACACTGACTGGGGTGCTTTCAAAGATCAGCTTTTATTTATTTATGTAAAACCTTTATTCCAAAAAGGAAAAAAAACGGTTTACTGTAACTGATTATAAATTATTAGCTGGAGTTTGGCTTCAACATGTCATTGCATTTTAAATTAGCTAGTTCATCTAAAGCAAGGTATACATGCACAGTTTTGTTTCCTTCAACCAATTGGTTGAATGAAAAAAAAAATGGCAGACCCCTGCATCCACACAAGCGATATAGATGCAGGGATGTTCTGTGCTATTGTATTCTGACAGTGGGGACTCCCCCCCACCCAGTCAGAAAACACAGATCAGCGCTGCAGAACAGACAACTGATTGCTCCCAATTAGGAAAGGGGCTTGCACCCCTTTTGATAATTAAGAACAGCATCTGCTTTAGTTTTTATGTTCAAAAGTATGGCGCAAATACTATGCTTGCACCACTCTTTGTTAGTCCCTCTGTCTCTAAACCACTATTGGCAATGCTTTAAGGCTCCATGCACACTGGGCGTTTTAAGAACGCTGGTAACATTAGCTGTGTAAAGTGTTTTAGCGTTTTTTGTATAAGCAATTAGCTGCATTTTGCTAAGTTTTTCGCGTTTGTGTTTTTTAGAGTTTTATTTCACCCCAAAAAAATTATTTTTTTGGTCAAAAAATGTCCAAAAACGCTAGTTTGCTGCGATTTACCGCATTTTACTAGAAACCCACTAGTTCTGTTTTTTTTTCTAGCCAAAAAAGGCCCCTGCCAAAAAACATTGATTACAGTCTATGTGTACATGGACACATAGGATAAACATGCTGGGGGGTTTACTGCCTGTAGAAAAAAACGTCAAAAGCCAAAAACAGCCGCTGTAAAAACATCCAGTGTGTATGAGGACTCAATAGTAATATGTGTAAAAGGCCTTGGGACTGATAATAGAAGATGCTAAGATATGGCATTATTTCTGTTCAAGTAATATGTCAGACTCCACACTTGAAAGGATGATCAATGCTAACGTTCTACCGGGATTGCCTAATGCTCCATGCAAAATGGGATTGAAAGAAAATGCCAGTTCCCTTGGCAGAAAAATGCTAATATAGAGCATTTTTGTACACAGTTTTGGTGCGTTTAGAAGAGTTTCCTCTCAGAAAGCTCCAATCAAAAACGTAAACCAGAAGGTTTTTTTTTTCCTGCCTCTAAATGTTGAGCTTAAAATATGACTCTAATCATTCTAATGTGCATGGACACATAGAATAACATTGGGCTGCTTCTACAGGCAAAACACAAAACTCCTGTAGAAGCAGCGATTTGTAAGCCAGTGTGCATACAGCCTAACAATATTTGATTATGACAATAAATCATCTTACTGCCTCAAGGATCCAATGTCTTCAATGGTACTTAGGCAACCAGTACTCGAACCTGTTGTGGAGGGTTTTGAAGTTTTACTCTGAATGTGCTGGAAGCCTTCATCCTTAGGAAAAATTAGTTGTTTTCCTAATATCCTTAAAAACAAATGAAGGGAAATAAAATTAGGTTTATTACACTAAATACAGAATTATCCATTAAAATGAAATTGCAAAGTACAGCAAATCTTACCAACCAATCACCAATGTGACTACATTGAACAAGTATATTTGGTTGCTATTGGTTGCTTTACTTGAATAGACCCAATAATCTGTAATTCACAACAGAGCTGTATCGAAAATAATCAATTCTTCCAAATGCTGAGTTCTTAAATCTGTGAAACTGCACATCTAGAAGGAGTTAGGCTTTTTAGGCCTCATGCACAATTCAGCTGTCAAATGCCTGTTTTACAGGCATTTGATGTTTTTTTTTTTCTGTCCCTAAATGTCGCTTCATGATAACCTATGCATCCATGAACACATAGGATTTAGAGGAGGTTAAAGGCAGGAGCGTTTAGGGGCAGAAAACTGAACACACCAAAATTGTATTCAGGAGAGAAACGTTTGGGTAGAACATGCCGAAATGCTTTTGAACATTGGCTTTAGGCATGTTTTTTAATGCTGCTTTTCTCATTTCAGGAGAAAAGCGTTCAGAAGAGCTTAGTGTTCATGAGGCCTAAGAGTTGGACTATATTTCAAGAATATTTTGTTCAAACTAACTAAAATAAACTAAATCAAAATCAATATTAAATTGATATTAAAGTCATTTTTTAAATAACAAACATGTTATACTTACCTGCTCTGTGCAGTGGTTTTGCACAGAGCAGCCCCAATCCTCCTCTTCTCGTGGCCCCTGGCCTCTCCCTTCTGCCAAGTGCCCCCAGAGCAAGCAGCTTGCTATGAGGGCACCCAAGCAAGCTCACTCTGGAGCCGCTGCTCTGTGTCCATTCACACACAGAGTCGCAGCTCAGCCCTGCCCCCTCCATCTCCTCATTGACTCACTGGCTATGATTGACAATGGCTTTCGCTGCTGTCTCAGCCAATGTGGAGGGAGAGACCCAGGGCTCTCGTGCACATCACTGGATCGCGATGGGGCTCAGTAAGTATTACGGAGGCTGGGGGCACTGCTGCACACTGTTTTTCACCGTCAAGCACAGAATGCATGAAGCTAAAGAAAACATTAAGCTTTTACAACTACTTTAAGTATTTTATATAATATGACTTGGTAGAGGATCAAGCCCATAAAATAATATATTGCTCATCAGCCAGTCACTTCTCATCTCTTCAAAAACTACTGTCACTACAAAAACACACAGATCAAAATGATGGGTCCTTTCACATGGGCAGACCCATTTAGCAGATCTACTTGCTCAGCGGGGGAATTCTCTGCTGACCACCGCTGAGGGATGACAGGTCTGCTGCAGAACGGACACAGAGCAGGTCGCTCTCCTCAATGGGTGGTCGGATGAAAATGGGCTGCCTATCTGTTCCCATCGGACCCTATCTGACGGACGGAAGGGGAATTATATCCCAATCCGCCCCTTTTTTGCGGGTCGGATGTTGGTGGGTGTAATTGGACACGTCTGTTTACACCCACCACTCCATAGAGGAGGAAGGGGGTTCTGATCGGGTCCACCTGAAAAATGGGCAGGCGGACCAAATCGGAAAGAGGCCTAAAGCTCACAAAAAAAACTTTATATCTTTATTACCTGAGATGAGGTGATCTTTCAGTCCAGTCTTTGCACTCCACTTGTAGATTCTTGTTCTGTGAAGAGATAGTGCCCTCAAAAAGCATCTCATCGACATCCCAGAACAACTGGTGGACCCTCTGTGCATTAGCTTTATCGAACTCCTAGCAAAGAACATGCACAATGAAACATTTTTGTTGCAGCAGTCAAACATGTGAAAGGCATTTTGCTCATTTTCAGCTTACATTGACTTTCTCAATAAATGTCATAAAGATAAAAACTAAACTGCAGAAATAATTTGAAGCTATGTTGTTGCCATTGACAGAAACATTGTATCTTGTGTGACTGCATAATAATCATCTATTCGAACCTAAGAAGCAAAGTTTCTATCCACAAAAGCAGAATGGCCTGAGTAGTTGCATGGGTGTGGACTTTTCTTAGTTGCCTCTACAAACTGAGTGCTTGCAGAGACTCCACTTTGTTTTTCCCACCATTCAATTTAATACCTTATTAGGCTTGCCAATAGCTAGGATATTAAGTGACACCAAGATAACAAAGGATTATATTTAACAATAAGAATTCCTGGGCATGTGCCGCCCTAGTGCAACAGAATAAAAGACAGGCAGCACAACAATGATATATGTCTATTAACAATTTGTATTTTATTGCTGCCTAACAACCTGTAGACCAGTGTTTATCAAACTTTTTTCCATTGTGGCACCCTTTAAAAGTATACAGAATCTTAAGGCACCCCAGTATAAAAGTATTAAAAAAAAGTGAATGTTACTTATCAATGGGAAACCTGAGACTGGGACAATGCACACAATCACCTTCATGAAATTGAAGTGGTTGTAAAGGCAGCAGGGTTTTTTGTTTATCGTACTGTATTCTACGCAGTAAGGTAAAAAAAAACCTTCTGTGTTCAGCTTTCCCTGCAGCTTCCCCCCCAAATACATACCTGAGCCCGATCTTGATCCAGCAATGTGCACGAGAGCCAAGGCTTGGACATTGGTCCAAGCTAGACTAATGTAATTACTATATCTGGAGTTCAACAGGCAACAGAATCACAATGGTTAATGAGAAAATCAACTTTCTCTGATCCGCTCTCAAACGTCTATCCTTGTGCTTTTCGGCTAGGTTCACATCTATGCAGATTGCGGTTAATGCATTTCCTGAGTGCATTTATTTTTCACACACCCCGCCCTCTTGGGGCATGCTGGATCGATGACGTCACAAGGGGCTCTTTTTTTTTTCTTTTTATTAACTTTTTACACTTTTTTGGTGAATGAGTAGGGGTACTATGTACCCTATACTCATTCACATAGGATCTGGGGCCCCCTTGTTAAAGGGGGCTTCCTGATTCTGATAAGTCGCTCTCTGCAGACCCCCACAACCACTTGTGGGGAAGAAGCCTTTGTCCTCATCAACATGGGGACAAGCTGCTTTGGCGGGAGTCCCAAAGCACCCCCCCATGTTGAGGTCATGTGGCCTGGTATGGTTGGGGGGTGTGCTCACTCGTGCCCCCTCCCTTTCCTGACCTATTGGGCTGAATGCTCAAATAAGGTTTTTTTTTTAAATTTGGTGTGTGCTTCCCCTTAAAATCTATACCAGACCCTATGGACCTGGTATGGATTTGACGGACCCGACACTGTTTTTTTCCTGATTTTTTTAACTGTCAGAAATAGATTTGTTTATACTCATCTGTCAGAGGGGAACATCTGATCATTCATTGGTTGTCAAGGACGCAGCGGCTGCCCACTCCTTAACAACCATGTTGTTTACTGCTTGTTAAGGAAGCCGGTGGCCACCCAATCCTTGACAACCAGCTTAAAGTCACACAAAACACAACACACAAAATGCATAAAAAAACCACATCAAAAATGCAATGCTGACCCTGACCCCTTCAAAAATCTGCATCGGCTCAAAACACACAAATGTGAACTAGATCTATAGGAAATCATGTTAATTGGACTGTAGAGTGTTTCTGCAAATTGAGAAACGCACTGAAATCCATGTGAACCTGGAGTTAATGTCCTGATCTTGGAACACTTCCACTTAGAATACCAGATTCAAATAAATTAAACTGATGTTCTCTGTCTGGCAAGGTTTATCTGTACAGCACATTTCCTCCTAACATAAAGATAACCTGAGAATCAGCCATGTAATGTACAGTCTGTAAATGCATTAATGAATGGCTCCACAATTGAATGCAGACTCCAGGAAAATGAAGAAGAAACCTACCTCGTCTGTCCAGGAATAGACTGAGCTCCTCTCAGTGGACAGTCCAGTAGTGTAGCTCTGTATTCCTGACCATGAATTATTTAACTCTGTTGGGGTAGTTTGTCCACTGGATGGAAGAGAGTAAATCGATTCACTGAGGAGAGACATAAAAGAATTAGACTTTATTTATTAACATAGGAATCATTAACAATGTCAAAAGCAATACGCAGAAATAAAGGGCAACACTGAAGCACAAAAAGGGTATTGACATTTCCTAAATGTAGTGGTGGGCCGTCAGGGCCAGCAAGGCCTTCCCTGCTGGCCTAAACTATCAGAATCACTGACTTATGTTTTAATATATTTTTTCATTTATGTTTTATTCCCAATACAGTCTATTCTCTTCATTTCATAGCTTTTCTCTTGGTAGTGTATGTTTATGTTAGAGTTTTTATCCAATGATATTTCAGCCATGATAGCCGTCATGTGCTGTCAGGGTCAGAATCAACAATGCAGACGCTTGTAGCTTACAGTAAATGACAATGAAACTGTAGCTTTAACCCAGTGGTCTCCAAAATGCGGTCCAGGTGCCAGATGCAGCCCTTTGCCTCTCTTTATCTGGTCCTTGGGCACTACTTCAAATTCCACTGACACCAACAATGGGGCATAATTCCTGTCACTGACACCAATAATGGGGCACTATCCCTCCCCACAGTCACCTACAAAAGGACATAATTCCTTCCACTGACACCAAGGATGGGGCTCTATTCCTCCCACTGATACCGATCATGGGGCATTATTCCTTCCACCGATACCAATGATGGGGCACTATTCCTTTCACTGACACTAATAACGGGGCTCTATTCCTGCCACTGATACCAACGATGGGGCACTATTCCTCCAACTGACACTAATGACAGGGCTCTATTCCTCCCACTGATACCAATGATGGGGCACTATTCCTCCAACTGACACTAATGACGGGGCTCTATTCCTCCCACTGATACCAATGATGGAGCACTATTCCTCCAACTGACACTAATGACGGGGCTCTATTCCTCCCACTGATACCAATGATGGGACACTTCCTCCCACACTGACACCAAAGATAGGGCATTGTA